CCACGAAGACAGAATCTGACAGCAAGAATCATTTTCTCATGCAACTTCAACCGCACTTGACTTCACTAATTTCGGTGAAATGAAGCTTCAAAATTACTGAGAGAAAAGCATGAAACTAAACATGTTCAGTGAGCAAGTACACGAAAAGAATAAACAGCGACAGTATTCTGGGCAAGTGAATTCAAGATATTTTGCGAGATCCGATATTGCACGCGAGCACGAGGCTTGGCACACCGGTGAAAGCACTGTCCTTAAATACGTGAATTCCTCTGATACAAATAACACTAGAGGAGGGGAAACGCTCATATTTATTAAAGAAATTACCCATGAACAGCTCAACCTAATAATGTAAATATGGTATCTTGTGTCTCAAAACTGCATGATTATGCGCCAATGAGTGTGTTGTATTTAAGCAGAAGCGTGTTCTTGCTTTTCACAACCTTCAGAATATAGCTGCCAAGGCCAGGAATGGTATCCGTCATAGTGGTTAGCAGCACGTCACAGACTTTTCACCCCTCTGACATTGCCTACGACCGAACGCATGATTGTGCAGAAATGAAAGTGAACTTTTTATTGTTTTTCCAGGTACATTACCGTTTCTGTTTTCGTCACATTTATCTGCAGCCTGAAACAAGCACAAGGCGAACGCATTATTACATAGGCGCGCCGCGGCGGGTATCGAAGAGTTCGTACCGTGACGTCACCCAAACTTTCCACCAGGCGGCGCCACCCCAACTTCTCGGGGCTAAAAGAGGCAATCTGAGAAGTAGTTTGCGAATTTTCGCGATGGTGCTTTCATTTTCTATACCCCCTTCCTCCTATGTTCCAATAATTTGATTGGAAGTGCAGGTCTTCTGACGTTTTTTAAACATTTTTTTAACATTCAGAAATATATATGGTTGTAAGCACTGCGCATTGTATGCTTCAATTCTCAGACATGCGAGGCTGCATAGTCAACACGTTTTGCACAAGTGCGGCCCATGAAAAAGGTTGTTTTGATTATAGTGCGGTACTGCCTATAGTGCTGCGCATTGTATGCTTCAATTCTCAGACATGCAAGGCTGCATAGTCAACACGTTTTGCACAAGTGCGGCCCATGAAAAAGGTTGTTTTGATTATAGTGCGGTACTGCCTATAGTGCGGTACTGGCTATAGTGCGGATATTCGTTACTTGTAAGTGGTCTGTACTGTACATACCTCCCAACTCTCCTGCTTTACCTGGGAGACTCCATATTTTTTTTTCTGATAGTACGATCGCGGCCATAAATCTTCTTATAAACTGATTTCAGAAAAAAAAAACCTACAGTAAAGCAAAATCCAGGGATTAAACACAAATTATTTATGACGCACCAAAGAAAAAGTAGCCTCCACACAACTAAAAAGGTTCGCTGCCCACTGCTGTTTTTTGTTGGCAGGAGTGGAAGTGCTGTGCCAATCTGACCTGCTGCCCACACTGTGCAGAACAGCAGTTTTTGTGTATGCCAAATTTAGTCCCCCCACCCCTCCTCTGCATTTTTTCATGCTCGTTCAAGATGGGAGGCCCGTTTCCTCTCTGCTGTAGCATTCAATGGCAGGTCCAGTGCATGGCGGGATGTTATTGCATGCACCCTCCGAGCGACAGAGATGGGTCGGCTCGTTTCATCTCTGCTTGAGCAGCGCTTTTCGCCCCCACTTGCACACTTTTACTCGCTGGTAAAACATATGATGCGTGTTGGAGTATAACATTTTCCATTCGTTTGAGGTCTAGCCATTCAAAGATGCACATGGCTGCCAAGTCTCCTGGATTTCGACCATTTGTACGGTTGGGTGGGAAATCCCAAAGTGTAAAGTTCTGTGTGTGCTTTGGTTGGATTGACAAGAATCCAACCCAACCCAATCCACTCCACTTTTTTGCGAAACTATCAGACTATCTTATTATAGAGTAGACTCATTAAGCAAAACATGAAAGGACAAGGAAAATACAGGGGTGTAAAAGCTGCACCATTTGTGCCATTGTGCACTGAGCTGGTTTATCTGCGCCATCTTGCGCCGAACCACCCCTGTTCTGCTGAAACTCGTTTATCAGTGACACACTGCGCTGCAACATCCTAATTCAGCTGCAAGGTGCCCTCATTGCCCCGCCGCGGTGGTCTAGTGGCTAAGGTACTCGGCTGCTGACCCGCAGGTCGCGGGTTCGATTCCCGGCTGCGGCGGCTGCATTTCCGATGGAGGCGGAAATGTTGTAGGCCCGTGTACTCAGATTTGGGTGCACGTTAAAGAACCCCAGGTGGTCGAAATTTCCGGAGCCCTCCACTACGGCGTCTCTCATAATCAAATGGTGGTTTTGGGACGTTAAACCCCACAAATCAATCAAATCAAGGTGCCCTCATTCCTTAAAGCTTGGCTGAAACATCATGCTTTTCATATATTAGCGTTTTCGTCGAGGCTGTAATCACTCGAGCAGCAGCTGTCAGCTTTGTTTGTAAGGTTGAGATTGATGTCATGCATGTTACCTTGGCATGAATTAGTTTCAATGGCTCATAAATCCTTGTGCTGCGCTTTATGTAGTTATGCAATATGCAGTTACGCGATATCAGATTTAAGAGCTGGCTGCCTGCCATACTTCGTATAACATAACTTGTTCGTATAACATAACTTGTTGCTATCGCATTCATTGCTTCGTCCTAGTGGAGAAACTTTTTTCTTTTTCAACTTAATGACAGTGTTCAGGAAAGAAAAAGGAAAGGAAAAAGAAAGAATGATGGTAACAGTGCTCAAGAGAAACGGGGTAGTGTCAGGCTCCCCAAACAACCTGGTAAAGACAGGTGCACAGGACTGCTCATCAAGCTCACGTGCGCATTGTTCAGTTTACCGCTGTGCTGCATTATACAGGTCTTCTGAACTCGGTGGTTCATGCTTGCACGTTTAGGTTTAAAATAAAAAAAGTGGCCAGCAGCACAACAGGGATCAGCAACAAGTGTGATAGCAACAAATTGTAATCTTATGAAGGAAGGCTGACAGTACTTCTCTTTTTGTGACCCAATCTTGCGTAACTCTATAAAGCACTGGTGTAAGAAAATACGGTCACGCCAGGGAGAGCAGCATTTTTGCGCAGTCTATTTGCATTGACAGCAGAGCACATTGAAGTATATGAGAGCCACCCACTAATGGCTGCCGAAAAAGCCAGCGATTGCGACGGTGCCCTTAGAAGCAAAGTTCACATTTGCTGCTGAGCAGCACTTTCCCTGCGTCTTTTTATGCTCGTACAAGGCGGCCATGAAGTTTCCTCTGTTTAGTTGGGAGGCCTCCCAAGTTCGGTGATGAGCATGCGCTCTTAAGTGCCGGAGATGGACCGGCTTTTCTGATATTTGCTTCAGCCACGTTTGTTGCCCCCGCCCGCACACTTTCACTTGTGGTTAAAACGCACAATGTGCAGGGTATGTTACCGATTTTGGCTTTACACGGGACATCATGGCCAGGGCAGAAAAATTGCAACAGTGACCAGATAATTTTTGTTGCAATAATAAGACTATTGCACAATTTTACTCAGTGTTTGATAAATGCAGCATTGGACAAAGTTTTCTTTACGTGTGCTCTGTGGCAAGGCTATATATGCTTCGAATGTTCCAACTGCTCTAATCTTGCGTGAAAAGGCCTTTCTGGCTGCTCCAGACAAGTCTGCTCTAAAGTCAAGAACATATTGTAACAGCGCGCATGTATGTCCCTGTGCATGCGATGATGGGCACGTTGTTTGAATGCAGGCAAGATGTCGCGGCAATATGATGCGTGGCACTTCTGCCACGCATCATATGTTCTTTTCTTTTGCCTGATCCCAGGGCTGCTCCCAAACACAAGTACTTTGTTCCCCCTGTACTCAGTACAATGGCTTAAAAAATATGCATCCACAGATACTCAATAGTGTGGTTCAATATCTGTGATGTCTTCGGCAGCGAAAACAGCACAAAAGAAAGCGCCGCACGACACTGTAGTGCTAGACCAAGGTCCAATGCGAGCAGCAGCCTTTGCAGAAAGAACTCCTCTTTTTGTGCACTAGTGCCAAGTTGTTCCACTTGAACGAAGTTCGCATCCTGCAGATAAAAACTGTGACCTTTAAAACTCACCGGATTATGTTTGCATCAGTGTGCCATAGCAATTAAAGTGGCCGCAAGAGAAGCCGGAGCTTAATGGCTGGTACCTGCTGATGTTTCAGAGTGATTTGGCACACTTTTGGTGTCTGTACTGAAGTGTGCCAAATGAAGCCCGACAAATGAAGTCTTTTTTTTGTGTGTCAGTGCTGCTGCCATCATTCAGAGATTCCAACTGTAATTTGTCAAAATTCGCTCGTAGAGCATCGGTGAGTAATGCCTGTCCCATAACCAAAACCACGAACGTGCGCCTCTCTGACGTCGAAGTAACCTTAAAAATCTCTCCCGTGCGGACAAAAAGAAACTCTAAAGTGGAACTGATCAAATGCTTTCTCTTCTCTTTTGCCACTTGATGAGGCTTGCTATCCAAACACGCTCTGAGAGTGGCAAAGTTTGAATTTGTATTGTTACCGTACTATAGATGGGAATAGGCACAGTCACGAAAGTGTTAATGTTTGCCACTGCTGAAGCTCAGTGTAGCCTAGCGAAGTCCTGAGCTGCTGCCTTTTCCATCATCACCCTTCCAGTTGTCCATTAGCTTTGGTCATTGGAAGGTTTGATGTCCTTGCATTTCATAACTATGCCTTATGTAGGACCTAAGCATCCTGAAAATTTAGGACTCGGACCTGCTTCCCCTGGCTAGACATGCTCAACTGAAATCACAGCCAACAATAGATTTCTCTTGTGTGCATAAAATGAAATCAGTAATCTCGCATTCTAATTTCGCATCCAATTGTGAACCACCTGCGTTGCATGAAGTGAGCAGAGCAAACTGTGTCATGCATGTCTGCACACTTTCTTGAGTGCCTAAGTTTGCTAGCAACGTGTCGTATGCAGCAATCATGTGATTTTCTTTTTCTCTGTCTCGTACAACAGTGTGCCTTTGGAGGTGAACTATGTGCGCCTGGCCACCAAGCCAGGCATGGGTGTGTTTGAGTACCACGTTGACTATGTGCCCGCCATTGACTCCAAGCGCGCTAGGTGTCAACTGATTAGCAGTGACCCAGTGGTGGCAGTCATTGGCCAGACACGTGTCTTCGACGGCATGAAGCTCTACCTTCCGCACCAGCTGCAACAGCAGGTCAGTGCTCCTTCTTTATTGTTATGCGACTGTTTTTCGCATGATCTGACATTATACAGTTGGTGCCTGTACAGTACAATAAAATATCTGTACAAGAAATGCCTCTATACTGCGACATTATACAGTTGGTGCCTGTACAGTACAATAAAATATCTGTACAAGAAATGCCTCTATACTGAACTTGTCAGATTAATAAACTTTTAGGAAATCTTGCTGTGACTACTACTACTGTTGACTATCGTTAAAACTTGCTTGATTTAGAGTGCCAGTAGCATTTACCGTGCATTACTTGCACGAGTTGTCATGCGCCGCAACATGTTGAGCTGTTGTGACGATGTCACTGGGCAGCATGCCACAGTGACATCAACATCAACTCTCAACAAAAATTCATTTTACGCAAGGTTGAACTCTTCAAATATTTATAGTGTGCTTTAAACAGTTACACAATAAATATAGAAAGCACTTCCAAGCCTGGCCACTGTGTAGAAGCCAGTATACACTCGAATAAGCCACACTTCGGCTGCTCTACTCTTTCAGTACACTCATTGTTGTTTTTTTTGAGTTGTTATAACGCCAATGGCCAGAGCAGTGACATTGTTATGGGGAAGCAATTGATCCATTTATTGAACGTGTCAGACTACATGTCAGGGAAGGTGACACTGCCGTCTTACACAATTGTTTCAACGTATGGCCCCCTACCTCAAGTGATTCTGCTGGGTAGGTCATAAAATTTATTAATACATCGAGAAATGCCTGGCCCAGGCAAGCCTCTAGAGGCTGTCGTCGGAAGAACATAGAGTGAGGAGTGATTGATGTCCTTCGCAATGGTCCTGGCTCACTGGACAGCTCAGAGTTTTGGTCCACCAGATGTTGGCTGAGAGGGGCTGCTTGCCGCCGCTCAGCCAGTCGTCCTAGGGTACAGGCTCTCTCGTCCCGGTAGGCACGGCGAAGACTGCATTTGCAGTTTCAAAGTAAGTGAGCCATGTCGGCTCTCTCGTGCCCGCACCATAGACAGTCGAGTGAAAGGTGGAGCGAGGGACACAGTCTGTGCAGGTGCTATGGATTTTCGAATGTATGAGTTTGAAGACGTCTCAGTTCAAAAGCCAGCGACCTGTCAAGCTGTTTGTGAGGCGGTGGTTAAAGCTGTTTGTTTTGCTGTAATGGCTGAGGATTTCGTGGTACTATCTGCATCAAATGAAACTCTAACAGCGGCAAGCCTTGGTGATGGTATAGTGCGCGCTGTCCAGTTATCGCGATCGACAGGCGCGCGCATCCTGTTTGGCCGCTCAGCGCATATATGCGTGCCTGTTCATGGTGATAAGTGGACGACACGCACTATCCCGTCACGAAAGTTTTTCGCTGTTAGCTTCATTTGACGCAGATAGCACATGACCATGATGTCCTTGCAATCTTGTATGACATCGGAGTTTGTCATCGTCGCGGAGGTGTACTGTCCTGCGTCCCTGGGTGCCTTGCCATCATCGAGATCTTCCTCATTGGCAGCCCTTTAGTCTGCATCGTGGCCGGTTAACAGTCTTTCATCGAGGTGGACTTGCTCATTGTGGTTGGGCGAGAGGTCAGGCCTTCATTCATTGCAATGTTCTCCTACTTGCGCGAGGAATCATTTGAGAGACTTCGTAGTAATCACGTCGTACTTCTTCGGCTGTGACATTCAACGTAAGTGCCACCTTGACAGAGATCTATTTCTTGGTAAAGTTCCGGACGGCTGTCATGGTGTCACTGACGACAAGCGTGCCTTTGGCTCACGGTGAAGTTTTGCTAGGGCGATGGCCATTTCTTCAGCCGCCTCGGGCGATGGCAGCCACGCTGATCACATTGCTAGGGTACATTCTCCCGTGTTAACCACCGCCATGCAATTGTTGATTTGCACCGTTGTTGCCGTTGCCTCCACTCACTGTCATTTTCCTCAATCTGGCCGAGAGTACCTGGCCGTGTTGACAAGGAGTACGTCGCCGTAATCTTTGTGAATTGCCTTCACTCTGGACTTTCGTCTTTGTGCATCAAGCACTGGGTGCATCTATTTTGGGTATACAGTCACTGGTGGATTTTTCAAACTCCGAAAATTCGGACTTGTTGGATATTTCGCACTTGATAAATGCACTGTCAAGGTTCTTATATCATTCATGTATTCAGTGATCCCACTCCTGCTCTAAATGCGCCAAATCAGATTTACTGTGCCTTCATTATAATATCGATGGATATAGTGCCAAAATAATCCAAAGTCGTATTTAGGAGCGTCTACTATCCGCAAAAGCCATGCCGCATGTCAAAACATGTGCACCTTGTTCTTGAAGCCGCCAAAGTTGTATCACCATACCTGCCAAGTCTCGTGGATTGGCCGGGAGACTCCCAGATTTTCGTTTTTTTCTGGTTGTACAGTAGTCATGAAAATGTTCGGAAATTGAAATTTCTTGGCCTGATCTGGCCGCATTGACAAAAAAGCAGCTCGATTCGCTCCAGGCTTTTCGAACCTACCCCATTTTATTGTAAACTAGTTTAAGAGGCGTTCATGTAAACGAACAGTATAATCTCAGTGATGCGAAACTGCGGCAGATACGAATTCTTGAAGTTCCCCAGCCAAATTTTACTATGTTCATTTGGGCTTCAATTTGAATGTTCCGAACACATTTCCTAATCGCAGTGGGTGATACGAAGTTAAGTACGGAAACCGCCGAACGAAGGCCAAGAGCAGCGTACCCAAAGCTTTGGGAGTATACGCGTGCGACCGGCGCACTACAGTGTGCGTGATTATCGTTGCCACAACCGCTGAGGACGAAACCGCGGTCGCTCTTGACACGATCATGTATGGCGACGACGTAACTGACAGAACCCCGAAAGTGTGCGCTCAACCAGCCAAAGCAACGCTGCTTTCCGCAAACTCTGCAGACAAGACTGCGGCAGATGCTATCGTAGATGGCATAAAACGACTTAGTTTTGAAGGTGCGTTTGCAGAAGCGCATGGGGATTGTAAAATGAACTACCGTTTGCCGCAACCGCCGCGCACAGAACCACGGCTGCAGCGACGCGATAGTGATCTACGAGCTCCGAGGGCCTGCAGAAATAGGTTAAAGGCAGTAAATACGTAAAAAAAAGAAAAAAAAAGGTACAGTTTCTCCGCAAGGGCGAAGCAATAAATGCGATAGCAGCAACTTGGAGGGTCTCGCTGAGAACGGCAAGCAGATCGAAACATGCAGCGTGCTGCTCACACACAAATGACGCACGAAAACGATGCTCGCAGGGCGAGAGCGAACTAACAATGTTTACCGTTTGACACGTAACACGCTTTATAAGCAAAAAGGGTGCAGGATATGTAAGCACAAGTACAGATGAGTACAAACTCCAGTAAAAACTCGTTAATTCGAACCACAAGGGGAATCTGTCTCAGTTCGAATTAACGAAAGTTTGAACTAACAAAAGTGAAGAGCAACAATAGTACACTGCGAGTAGGGCATAACAATTTATTTTTTGAAAAAATCTGTGATCGCGGTCTGCCATCTTTCCTTGAAGGCGACAGCCAGCACTTTTTGCTCTAACAAGAGCGAATTTGGTTGAAGGCCTCTTCTCCGCCTTTTTCAAAACTTAAGACGGGTGGCAATCAATCCGGCCACGACTTCTGCAGCAGAGGGCCGCACTAGTGCTTCGTCCTCCTCCTCATCATCATCACTGGCAGCGACAGGTTCTGCGCTTCTCACCTGACATTGTGTCGCCATCCATGAGTGCACCACACACCACTGCTTTTGAGTCCACATCGGCGTAGTCCGCAAAGCAGACGTCTTCCAAAACGGCCGCCATGGGGGCGGTGACGCAGTGTTTGAGCACTGGTGGCTCGTCAGCTTGCAGAGCTTGAGGCCCGTGTGTTCAGATTTGGATGCATGTTAAAGAACCTCAGGTGGTCGAAATCTTCGTAGCCCTCTACTACAGTGTCTCTCATAATCATATAGTGGTTTTGGGATGTTTACCCCACATATCAATCAATCAATCAATCAAGCTTGCAGAGCTTCGGTGCTGAAGCCACAGTGGCTAAAGCAATTTGCTATCGTAAGCGCTGTCACTTGCTCCCAAGCACGCACAAGCATGTGTAGTGCACTTAGGAGCGTCACTTGGTAGTTATTGCACAAAATAATTCGTTCCAAGATATGACGCCGATAAAATTATTTTAAATTTCTAATTATACCGTGGTCAATGGGCTGCAGTTCCGCTGTCGTGCTTGCTGGAAGGATGTGTTTTGGCACGGTATTTGCCGCGGGTACACGCCATCAAGTCGGAGCAGCAGAATCGCGAGAGACTGGAAGCTACTACCGGCGCTACCGCAACAAACGTTAGCTGAGGCTTAACATCAATACAATGAATCGCGACAGTCGGAAGCTACTCGCAGCTCCAACAACCGAGGCGTACGAGGCATGCCCGAGACAGAGATTGCAGAGAAGGCCGGGTGAAGCTACGACGCACCCGATTTCCTGTGTGCTGGTCATGCCATCTGTCGTCGAACAGCGACAACTACGCAGGATTGTCAAAGGCTGCGAGATCGGCGCTTAAAAAAAAAAAAAAAATCATGAAGGTTTGTAGGACGGAGAGCAGGCAGCCGCTGAGAGGGAGAGATTGTGGGGGGAGAGGGGTGAAGAGTAAGTGGCGCTATTTTCTGCACTCTGGCCTCCGTGCCAGTTTCTCCGTTTTTTTTCTCCGCTCCCTGTCAACGCCACCTCGTAACTCGGCAGCCGCCCTATCGAGTGACTAGCCAAGCCGGTGGCGCGTAGTTGGAATTATTGGCGGCGGAACCTACTCGGGCTCGAATTAACAGGCTTTTTTTATTCATAGGCTTGTATGGAGCTTGGCTGGATCATAACTTACAGTTCGAATTATCCATAAATTCGAATTATTGAAGTTCAAGTTAATGAGCTTTCACTGTATAACGAAATATCCGATCAGAGTGGATCGTAAATGCTGAAGGTAGCTAGTGGGCAGGGACTCCAAACTCTGGT